GTTTTCTCTTCATTAACACTATATTTTCATTTTATTTTTACAAAATAGATTTATTACATGTACATTAACCAAGGAAATAACATATATTGTTTTCTTGTGAGAAAGGCTGTTTGACCAAATTGGAAGACAACCGATATAGTGAATAAAGTGTCCCAGTTAAAAGTCATTATTTACAAAAGAACGTACCTGTATAAGAATTGATTTCCGAACACAATGATCCAATGTATGCATTGTCCGTCCTCTATGCCACACATATAACATACAGCCATACACGCGATTTTGGTTTGAACATTATCTATCATTATTATATATGTACACTACCATTCATAGTAGTATGTATTTAATAACTGCTGCTGGTACAGCCTCATTCACATTTTTGAGAATTCCAAACAGGCTCATGTCAGTGTTTATACAATGTAGTATGTGATGGGCTCATAACTTTTTCTCAAAATGAAAAAAGAAATATGGAAGTTGGTTGGTATACCCATGTCAAGAACAACGTCAATAATGACCTTTACAGAAATCAGTAGCCTGACCTACGTCCTTGACCTAGTGAGAACGTGCGTATGTTCATGTAATGTAGCATAGGTTGTTTCCATAACCCCGACAGGTAGAGACAGGTGTATTGTACGACCTGGCTGCCTGTACTCAAAGAACATCAACTCTCAGGTCACGGATGGGGTCATCCTACTCAATGTCTAAAAGGCTTCAGCTATTTTTCAATGTGATAAATGCATTTGTGCAAATCATAAAAAAGTCATATAATAGGTATATATCATATACATTCACGTCAACTGTCTGTCTGAAGTGTTCATACATTCTTATCTATGCCGCAAGGTTTTATTGGTAAAAAGTTTATAAAATCTTTAAAACATTTTTGTATATCGCTTTTGTCTCTCCTAATTTATTTTCTGAATTCGCACTTTGTTTTAACTAAATTATATATGTTATCCCTTTTCAGTGATAGTCACCACAACCCTGGTCCACTTTACGCCAACATCCAGCTAGACAATATTTCTATTTGTCTTACATGTATTTATATTTGTTCTCTAAGGAACAAAACTTGTATTCCTGATGCCGAGTTTTCTGAATACGATATTATGTACGTCTCTGAAACTCATCGTGATAATTCAATTCATGATGGTGATATATTTATTCTCTTAGAAGAGTGTCGGATGNTTGCAAGAAATGGAACAAAATCATCAGTCTTACCAAAACGTGCAAGACATCACCTGATCTATTCACACAAACTGTGGTGTCCCACCTCATCCCGCGTCTGCTCCATTCACCTTATTGGTAACGACTTAGATCCGTCTACAGAGGTTGTCCTTGATGGTAGAGGTTCCTTGGAATCTCAGTTACCATCAAAATCGTCCGAAATCATTAATGACCTCCTAGAGGTGTCGCACGTCCTTTCACAGAACCAGTCTGCGTTTACAATAAGCTTTTCTTCTCTTGATGACTCGGCATGCATGGCCTGGACAGGTTGGTCCAAAGATCAGTTCCTCGAAATCCACTCGCACTGTTCCCCATATCTTTCATCTGGTATATATACCAAGACTACACACGATGCTCTATTACTGTTCTGGGTAAAACTGAAAACCGACATTTCCTGGAGTCAGTGTTCTTCTCTTTTTGGAATTTCCAAGTCAAGTGTGTCCAAAACTTTCCACTCCATAGTACAGGCATTAGACACATCGATAGTCCCACAATTTCTAGGTCCGGATCACTTGACAAGAGAACAGTTGCTCGGGCACAATACTGTCTTTTCAGAAGCATTTTTTGGAGATAAAGCCACTGCCATATTAGATGGCACCTATATTTATATCCAGAAAAGCTCCGACCACAAGCTCCAGAGAATGTCCTACTGTGGCCAGAAGAAGAGAAACTATCTCAAATTCATGAGCATCGCCTTACCAGATGGCTACATTCTGGACACAGTAGGACCATTCACTGGCAGCGAAAATGATGCTACAATTACAAAAAAAGTCATGGACAAGCTAGTTACTTGGCTACAACCAGACGACAACGTTGTCGTTGACCGAGGTTTTAGAGATGTCCTACCAGTTCTCGAAGCCTCTGGCCTCAATGCTAGCATGCCGTCATACCTGAAACCCGGTCAAAGTCAACATTCTGACGTCCAAGCAAATCTTGACAGAACTATCACCAAATCGAGGTGGATTGTGGAATCCTATCATGGTCGTCTGAAACACTGGACGTTCTTCCGAACGCAATTGGTGTCTAACAGCTTTATCAATGTCATCGAGGCTTTGCTTCGAACCGTCACAGCCTGTCTGAATGGTATTAGAGGACCGATCTACCAGAGATCTCCAGAGAGAGATGCCAAAGATAGGCTAATGGCTGAACGTATGAAGGACCGTTTGACAACACCGAATGGTTTAGCTCAGAGAGTCAAGACAGATCCGGATCTATCTAGACGGGCAAGGTCCGAGTTTGTCAAGATGGATGCATCTTCCGTACTGTTTCCCCGTCTCGATCTTGATTACTTGAGAACCATTACGTGTGGAACGTATCAGATATCTCTGGCTCCTGGTTACATCGCCGAACATTTAAGTGATGACGGAGACTATGAGGTGTGGCTTTACCAGCACTCCCCAGACCTTCTCCGATGTCAAATACATTCTCGACACAAAAGCCAAACGAAATATAACGTTTGGATACGGTTCACCGTTTCACCCGATGTTGAGGCCCCAATAAAGGACTACTACTGCCAGTGCCCAGTTGGAGAGAGAACGATGGGAATGTGTGCGCACATCTCCAGTATCTTGTACTACCTTGGGTATTACAGGACGCTGGAAAACCCTCGACCATTACAACCACAGGTAAAGAAATTCCGACAAAACTTGAAATAGTTTTCCATGCGGCAACGGAGTGCATATGTCGAAAGTATGTTTGGGGCTCGATATGAAAGATCCCCGTTACCATGTGACTAACCAAACTTATAAATATAGGTATTATACAATCGCCCGTAGCTATGAACACTCCCGTAAATGCGAAAACCAACCAAAATCATAAGGAACACGTTTTGTTTGTTGTTCTGTCTATTTGTCAGCCAATGTCTTCAACCACGGGGACTTGTGAAGTAGCCATCTTGGATTTTTTTTATGAAAAAGTGTTTCTCTCACTTTTTTTCATATCTGTGTACATATTCTCAACATACCGAGCAAATACTCTCGTTTTTTTGTTAATTATCTAAAGAAAGTCGAAAATCGGCAATTCAACCATAGGCTAATTCAACCCAACATTTGAAAATGTTCCACCACTTACATTTTGATGATTTTTCCTCTCATCAATAGCATATTACGTACTGTTTAATAGGATAAAAATTGGTTTGCATCCAACGCCCATAAAAGGGTGTATTCTCTAAAAAACACAGTTTTTGTGTCTAAAATGTTATCATCGAAAATGGCATTTTTGAGATTGTTTCTTCCATAAAACAGCCAAATGGCGCGATGGAAACATGATTTTTTGTCACAATCATGCCATGAATGTATTCTTTACGGTGACCATCATTTGATTAGATTTTCATTAATATTTTACATAACATGCACATTTTATCAACACTTAGACAGCTTCTGAAAGGTACAACTTTGAGGAGCCATAAAAAACAAACCAAGTGACCTAAATCTTTATACTTTATAGATTTGTGACCACAACGGCATGGGCAATGCATCACCAACAGGAAATTTGAATCAGAGAAGGGGCCGTTTTGGAAACCGGCCCTTTCGTAAACATTCGGGTTTAGTTTGCCGTCTTTGTACATTCATGCGTGTTCTGAATGTATTGCTAGTTTGACCGTTGTAAAAATCACCATATTAAAAACAAATTATGTACAAAATTGTAAAATTGGGACTCCTACCCCCAACCCCTGGTGCTAGGGCGGGGCCCCGAAAGGCATTTTAACAAATATTTCAGAAATATTCTGCTCCAGACTCAGAGGTACTACAGTCCCTTCCACTGCATGGATGGAAAGATCATCAGGTATTTTATTGAAATTGTAAATTTCAGGACCCCCGAGCCATCCATTCTCCCTTGGGAAGGGGGTAAAGTTTATTATAGTTTAGATAGGGAATAACACTTTGGGTATATTTTGACTATTTTCTGTAGGAAATTATTCTTACTTGGTGAGAATCATCCTTGGAGGAAGATGTTTTTTTTAAATTGTAAAATTGGGGTCCTACCCCCAACCCTAGGGGCCAGGGCGGAGCCCCAAAGGGAAAATTAACCAATATTTCAAAAATCTTCTTCTCCAGACTCAGAGGTTCTACAGTCATTTTCTCTGCATGGATGGAAAGATCATCATGTGCCTTATTGAAATTATAAATTTCAGGACCCCCGAGTAAAGATTACTATAGTTTATATAGGGAAGTACGGCACCGATGTCACGATACGTACTTCATACATAGACACCCAGCAGTTGTGCACATGTGTATTGTTTTCCACCCTCTCATTTTTTAATGAAGTTGTTCTTTCTCAAACATTTTTAACAACTATTCGTACACTTCTTTGTGTATGCGGGGGTATTAATCAGCCATTCTGGCGACAGTTCTATTTCCTTTGGGCCTGATCTGTACTCTCTTTTCAAGGTGTGGAATTCTTTACTGACTTGTATTTTAATAACCTGTTTATTTAGCTGTGTTGTTATCGAGCTACCATCTATGTGACATGATTGGATGAAAACGTCTTCACCTTATCTTTGCTCCAGATATCAAACAAGTCTTTCAAACCCTTTAGCTTTTAGGTCAAGTAACAACGCGCCCTTTTCTTCGTTGTAGTATGAAGTCTTTAAGGCACAAACGAAAATCCCATAATCTGCAGGGGGCTACCACATTAGTTTCCTCTTACAACATACAGTTGGTAACAGTAGATTCTTTTCTTGGAGTATACATGCAGTATTATAATGTGTTACGGGGCTGAACAATTTATTTTTTATATACATAATTAAAGGCCAGACACTTATCTTCGTTTTTTTTTTATAGAAACACGATGAAGATGAAGAGGAAGATCAGACCGAAAGCGAAAGATCATCAAACTCTTGCTGTTGCTCGCACAAAGCGGTTGTGACGGTCCTGTTATGTACAGTTATCTTTAGCAGCTTCACATTGGTCAACCACTGGATCACCGACTTCAACTACGCAGCTGTATGGGGCGAGACCGGGAACCGTGAAGTTAAACGGGCATACAACGGCGTTAGCTCCCTCACAAGTAAATCATAACTTGGTCTATCTGTATAGTTAAGAACACTGCATTGTGCTTTGCGTGTTATTTGGTTGTACGTATGAAGATGTTTTCCATGACACTCTCCTACGCGATCAGGTCATTTCTTCCCTTTTATCATTTGAAAAGACGGACCGGTTTAACCATGTGTTGACTGTTCTGTATAAAACAAATCCGCATATGTTAAAGTATCACATTCCTGTTGTAATTATATATAAATATCAGTCATCCTTGCAGGTCAGGGATTGAGAAAAGACTTTATCACATAATCGGCCTGTTATCCAGTGAATTCGCCCGTGTAATATTTTTTACATATGTCACTAGTGTAATATACACTGGAGCGTTTTTCATTGGCTGTGCCAGTCAGAAATCGATTTTGACGTCATAATATGGACAATGACGTGACGTCATAAACTGTGAATGGCGCTACAAAATGGCTGTCCCTGTTTGATTAAGCCCTCTACATTTTTGGTTTAAACGCTGTCAAAATGTAAGTTTTCTGAGTTATGTGATAAAAAGTATCTTAAAATTGTTTTCATTTCATATGAGCTTTTATGAAACTCGTCTCGAAGTTTTATAAAATCGGATATGAAATGAAAACTCATTTAAGATCCTATATATATTTTACTGACCTCCTGTTTTCCTAATAACTTGTTATTTGTGACCTGGTAGAGCGTCATACTACCGTCTCCTGGTAATGACAGTTAGGTGCGATGGCTCTTTAAAGTGCCCAATGAAGCTCCATCATCCTTATGTGTCTGCCACTATTATGACAATATTCGTCGCCCTTATAATGTATTTTATTACGGTAACAGTAGGACTAACTTTTGTATTTTATAAATGTCATCAGTATAAATCAATATTTGAAATCCTGCTATAACTATAAACTATGTATATTACAACAATATGTGCAGCCCCCTGTCGCTGAAGGTTGTTAACCCTGCTATAACTGTTACCTACGTATTTCAGGAATATTTGTAGCTCTTCTGTCGCTGAAGGTTGGTTTACTTTGATATAGCTATAACCTGTGTTTATTTCAGCAATATTTGCAGCCCTCCTGTCGCTGAAGGTGGGTTACCGTGTGGTAGCAATCAGTGGGTGTTTAATGATGATGTCAAGTTTATTCGTGTCATCATGGCTTGACAAAGACACCATAGGGCTGATTGGGTTTCTCGTCGGCGGCATTGCAGGTTAGTACTTCCTAACATCAGAAGACATGTATGTAAAACTTCGTTGTTTCAAACAAAATTACACGAGACTTGTGAGATATACAGCGTCGTACCAAAACTATTCTCGGAAAATGAAGGACGTAATTCAAGAGTTATTGCACCTGTAAAGAGAAAACAAGTTCACAACTAACTTAATAAGCATGCAAAATTACCGTTAATAATAATTAAGTTGCCCTTTGTTCCTTATGTTGTGTATAGCTCGGAACAACTTATCAACGGCACGATTCTGTATTGTCCATTTAATTTTGTGCGAACATTTTTAAATGATACAGATGTCCGGAGACTGAGATGGCTACAGCATACCACAGATATTGTTAGTATGCTTCACGTGTTTGTGTGTTACGTATATCCACACCTGGTAATGAATCCCAAAACCATAACAGATACGTTTGTTATCGGAACGGCATACATACACTCCGGTCAATATGCTTGCCGAATCGATTGCCACACCATACACCCGGTTATACTGTTCGCTAACCACGTGAGATTCATCGCAGAAAAAAATTATGTCTTTTTACTATCCACTGTCCATTTTTTTTCTGTCGACAACATAGCAGACGTGGACTTCTTTCACGACCATGCGCAATACTTCTACAGCTTTTATGAAATACGCTTGACTTTGCGTTCACGAACGGGAATTTTCATCACTACGAAGGTTAAATTCTGTTGTCATATTTCGAAAAATCTGACTAAACGAAGTAGCCTTGCAACATCGCACACAGAGACTTTTTGAGATGCACTGAAACGTCCCAAATGGGAAGCGGTCCCACACTATCCCTGTCGTTAAAATCTGAATCACCGAGAGACAAGTAGATTCAGGAATTCCCAACAAACCGAGCTATCTCAATGATCTTGTGGCTACGATCAAACTTATCCCCTATAACAGTTCTTTCGATCTTCGACCCATCTTTGTTTACACTCGTAAAATCACATTGACAGCTACAGCAGACGACGGTTATGGCGTCAGGCTTTAAACATTATTAAGACTATTTCAGGGTGGTTTGAAAATCAGAATTACCTAGTCTACTAATGAACGATGTAAATTTACAAGGCGAGGCGTGTAAAGTTAGCGTCGTCCGCCATTTTCCGCGATCAGGACACGACACTGTATGTCATGATATATATATTCCGGATTAAGCCATCAGACGGGTCAGACCAACAAGTCTGTCTGTTGCTGACTTGTTGAAATAGCATTACCTACCTAGTGAAACCATTGATTGTAGAATGATTGCCTCTCGACTTTTGCGAAAAAACACCAAACAAAATGAGTGTGGCTTCTTCTAACGAAGTTTTGTTTAATTTGATGATGAAACTTTCAAGTTAAAACAGAGGTGATATGTACTGTTTGTTTTATTTCTTATATAGATTAACGAAATATGAAGACGGGTTTCTAGGATGAAACCACCGAAAAGAATGTGTAGGGAAAAAAGATGAGATCCAATCTGTTGCAATAGGGGGCAGGTCAATGTTTAGTTTCATTAATGTCCCCTAAACAGGAGAAGCCACCATTGTGTCGTCTATTACAATAGAACTTGGTAGGAACAGCAGTCTGATAAATCTTCCGAACCTGTAGGGGCAAAAATTGATCAAATTGTTCAAATTGTAAAAGGCACGGCAGTCCAGTGGTAGTACGCCGGGCTCGTGACCGATGGTTTGCGGATTCGAGTCACATCACGCGACTGTATTGTATCTTTGAGCTAAATACTTTACTCCGCTTGTTCCAGTCTACTCAGCTGTTAATGAGTACGTGGATGGGCAGTGGTAGAATTGTTGAATGCTACCTGTGAGCGCCAAAATGGCAGCACCGGCTGTATGCTCTCCAGGAAGTTGAGAAAATTATTGGCTGGTTGCAAAGGCCCTATAACCACGGAAAATAATTTGTGAACCGCTTTGAAAAGGTCTACGTACTAGGTTGTGATAAAGCAGTATACAAGAACCTAGAATAATAATTATTATTAAAGAAGGTTCAAACTGATAAACAGATATTATAACGCATGAGAAGATACTTATTTCAAAACGATCTTTTACATGTACGAAGGTAATTAAAAGACTGACTTTATTATATGCTGTATGCGTGAAGAGCAATTATTCAATTAGTCAACGACAGAAAAGAGGATTTCTGTCTGCATTTTTCTTAAGAGAAACGAAATAACATTGATTTGCTTTCCTCGTTGCAATTTTTCAATGATCAATTTGCGTCTCTCTCAGGAGCAATCTTTTTTGTTTCAGGAGTTGGAGCTTCATGTGTAAAGCTGGCAGCAGTAGTTCCTGTTCTTGAGAATATACAAAACTGCCGGTTTATTGCCGTTGCGATTGTCAACATTGGTGGCGCGGGTGCGTCTGTTGTTCACTATGGCATACTCGCATCCAGCTGGGTATCGGACGATGTTGATCTAAACTGGAAACACTTTTATCGATGGCAGCTCCTGGTTATGTCATTCGCTTTGCTGGCTTCTACCCGACTACAGCCTTCAAGTGAAAAGTGGATCAAGAATTATTTTTCTCCGTTTGATTGGAGTGTGCTTCGTGAAAAGTCCTTGTACATCATGATGGTCATTCTTTTGTGTGACCGATTTGGTAAGTACAAAGTAAAATAATTCATATAGCCTTTAATTTGAAAATTTGAAGCAAAATGTTGGAATAACGGTTTTTGTTAATCACCAGCAGAGTCACCGAATAAACGCTGAGGCAGGTGGTATCCTTAATAAGTACAATTGTGTAACAGAATCATGATAGATCGCATTATGTCTTTTGAAAAAAAGTGAAAAGGCAAGGCACGGTTTTCTTTGTTAACAAGCAATGTTATTGTTCATATTTGCAAGCAAACAATGTCATATACTTTGTCTGTCGACGCATCTACATTCAATTGCAGACTATGGTTTTGACTTTTGTTTTGACTATTGTTTCGACTATTGTTTCAAGATGAAAATTCTTTTGATGACGGCTATATATATTAAACCAATCTGAAAGCGAGTTTAATTCAGCGTGCTCAAAAAGATGGCAAAGCCTGACACAAAAAATACATCAGTATATATATAATCAGTTTCCTTGGAAACTTAGAAGTAATATGTTATGAATACCTACTACGGTCTTGATGTTAACGGTCTTTCCCCTTTTTGGCATTTTTTACTTTCATTTAAAATCAAGCAACTTTTATATTCAAAGAAAATGCTATCAGGAATTATCTATTGTTTAACACCAAATAACGTACAAATAATGATATTATGTATACGTGTACAATTTACAAGTATAAATTATCACATTGTACCACCTGCTCTGTTGTAATCCATAGTACGAATATTAACATTACGGGGGCGGATCCTAAAGATGCTGTTATTCCCTACTGAACTTCGTGTTTATGAATATTCTTTGTTATCTTTGTTTTTAGAATAGTAGTGGATGTAAATTAAGCATGAATTCGTGTTTTTATCCAGGTCACCTCATCTTATCAAATGTGATATTTACATTTTTCGACAAGAACGAGAATTTTGCCGCTCCTTACTTGGGTGGATTTTTCTACTATGGGGGTCAGATCTTCGGACCCATGTTCCTGTTTTGCTGTATAAAGAAGCAGATCGCCCCGACCCTACGTTTCATGGGGTCGATTGACCTTATCGCCGGGGTTTGGACTATAGCCGCAACATGGTCAACAAATCTTTTCCATATCTCCATGTACGCTGGCACTCTAGGTATCTCAAAAGGTAACGAATCTCATCTGGTGTTAAAATATATCTTAGACAATTGCGCCTGTATGCAGATTACTCTATATAACCCTACCTAGTTAAGAAGACATGCTATGAATTTCTTGGCGCAGATGGTGACGTCATAAATATAGCATTATATATTACTGGCCCTCCATTGAAGACAGCTAACATGTTCATTAGAGACATACACTAGATATACATTTTGGCGCTAAATGCTTATCATTTATAAAAACATTTTTTATTAGATTGACATAATCTTTACAATAACATTGAAAAGCTTTCAGTTGGCAGTCGTAATCAATATTTTAAATGCCAACTGAAAGCAGTTCTAACTTGAACATGTAAAATTCAACAATTAGCGCTAGTGCCCTTTATGGAATTTGTCACGTTGTGGTTTGCATTAGCAGTTCAATGGTTAAATATCCTACTTATCCATGCCACTGTCCTTTCCTGTCTTTGTCTTACTATTATACATGAATAATAATTAGAATGTACTATGTGTACCATTCATATGTAGATATAACGAGTTTTTGTCACTTTCCACTTCATAAACCGAATATTGGATTTTTATGCCTTATCTCTAACACTGATGTCTTGCCGTATAAATACATATAAGCTTATATATTTTGTTTATTTCAATACAATTATGAAACAACTTATTTTAACTTATATTAACCCGTTTACTGGGTACGTTATCGTCCAAGAATGTCTAATGTCTAGCATTGATATATTTTCCCCTGTAGGTTTTGCTTTTGAGACAAAGCCAAACCTTAAACAAACAAACATTCAGCCTGTATCATCTTTATACATTGTACCTAAGTAGTGTTTTTATAACCATTTGTTTTGAAGCGGCGTTCACTACACTTCTCCAAAATCTCATTCCGTCCGTGTTCGGAAAGAACAATGTTCGGATTGTTCAAGGCCTACTAGACTTTGGAGCTGGCGTTGGCATACTGCTGTCTTCTCCATGTCAAAGTAAGTGTGTATAAAGTGTAAATTTCCATAATGTACAAGTTAGTTATACTGCGATAAATATATCCGTTCGGTGCAAGTTTATAGTGTGAATATCTGGTGAAAAATCAGTTTACATACAATATAACATTACAGTGTCACGTATGTGTCCCAATCATCTTTGCACACGTCTGAGGTGTTCATGTTTTATTTCAACACATTTTGCTGGCAAAGATGGTAAGTTGTCAAAGAGATTGGACAAATGGCACAGCCTATGTCTTGGATGTTGCGCGGACGGTAAACTCCAAACAAACCACACCAATCATATCAACATTATCACCATCCACACAGTAAAGATATCCATCGTGAACCATACGGTATAAATAGTAATACTGTGTAAATTCAGTGTAAATATCCATGCACTTTTCCATGAACTGTAGTTATTTATTGATTTGATTTCCTCATATCAACGTTTTGGAGATATATATCCATTTTTACTATCCCTGTTCCTTACTCGTTTTCGGTGGTATCGTCTTAGGATCCAGTTTTCATGTGACCTCACCTTAGCTGTTGCGGGCACGTTAAATTGCAAACAAAACAGAAATCAATGCATTGTAATTATCCGTATACGGTAAATAGTTTTATCAATACGATGGTACAATGTAACAGAAGTGAATGTATTGAAACCAAATTAATCACGAATTCTCTATTTGGGAAAGTTTATATCTGGACACTTCTATACAAAAGCAAGCAGACAAAGTATTCATCCTGAAATTACCATATTCTCAATTTGATTTTGATCTCCATAAGTCACCTAGAGACCTACCCACAACTGTTGGCTAACCCGTTATCAGTATAATGTGACCATGTGGAATACTATGCTGGATGCCTTCTGTATTATATTTCAGTGAGGTAGCACTTACCGCCTCTAGCATACGTGCACGCATATACTACACACATTGAAGCACTTCTTTAAATTACCTTAGCTGTAAATAGGACGTTAAACATAATAACACCAAACAAACTTAATCCGCACTTAACTTTGTTATAGATGCGGTGGAGATGCATTACGACGAAGCTGACCGATACAAACCGGCGTTTTACCTAGCTGGTAGTTTCCTCGTTCTGGCGTCCGCCTTTGTGTTCATCTGTCTTCGTGTCGTCAAAGCTATGGACAGTAACGCGGACGTTGCTGAAAACAAATTCTCTGAAATCGCAATAATAGATGCATAACATTTTATTTTATGTTTAAACTATATCATATATACCATTGTACATGTTATGACGTCTATCAGATAATACCATTAATTAATATGCAATACATTTAGGAAATTTTTGTGTCGGGGAAAAATAGTATTTTATATCTCGAAAGCCCGTATGTTAACTTTATTAAACCTTTGCTGTTTCATAGTTAAAAATAGATCAAGTAAAGTAAATGAAGAAACAAAATTTAATAAAATCACACTCGTAAAACAGCTATAACCACAGTAAGAATGTCCAGAATCACAGCATCCTTGTAGGTCGGGGATTGAGAACAAAATATGTCTGCTCTTACCAATCGGATGTTCTAAGAGGCAGCGAATGTGGGTACTTCCTGCAAAATTTCGATCCTCTTCTTTGAAAGACAAAACGACCAAAATAAGTCTGCTAACCCAATTGCAACATTTGGGATAAGTTTAAGTTTTTCTTTACATCCTATTGACCTTTCTGTTTCATTGCGCCTAGCATGGCAACACCTCTACTTTGGCCGTCGTGTTTAACGTTCGCCCAAGTTTGGAATGTAATCTGTCCAAAGGCCAGGACATACCAAAGTCCTTAAAAACGTTAGTTGCTATACCTGCTGCTAAGTTTTTAGCAGCCAGGGTAACGACAACAACCGTGTATCCCATTGTTACTGTAATGTGGTCAGGTGGAAGAATTTGCTGGGCACATGTGGAATGGTAATTTTAGTGAGGTAGCATTCTTCGGTCGGCATTAGATCCAAACTATAACAACGAGCCGAATACACAAACATACCGCTTAAAGCACACATACATTACATACGTGGTTGTCCTTAATTGGCGTTAAATGTAGGATGTTAAAACTAACAAACCATTTCAAATGACTTAACTTGTAATATCAAAAATCTTAATTAACCAACCAAAGCATATGCCACTTTCTTTGCTATTCTCATTACACAACCATACCATTAGGGAGTACACTTTCTGTAACACATTTTCTTTGGAACAAAAAATCAATAGCATAGTTAAAATCTTAGTCGTCAACTGCAGAACCTTGGAATGCTTTTCATACTTCTTCTAGATCAAAACATACGAATACTATATAGACATCTGCAACAGTGTCTTAACAAACTTTAAACTTAGGCAAATAAAAAAAGACTTATTTTCTAAATCTAACCATTATGTATGCACTTTTGCCAAATCCAAATTAGCATTACATTGCGATCCCTTTGTAATTTTAGACGGAAATATTACTCCAATTTAGAGTATATAAAAGGTAAATACTCTCAAACACTGAATATTGTCAGTGTTATATCAGATTTAGGAGTAGACCGTTTTTTCCTGTTCCGTCTATATCGCTCACTTGTTAGATCTAGACTAGAATATGGTTCCTTTATATATTTGTTCAGCTCCAAAATCATATTTGCAGATGCCTTATCAAATTCACCACTATTCGTCTTATAAAAAATCTGTAATGTAATAATTGTGATTTTTTATACAGTTTCTGTGCTATTAATGTATGAGTATTTACGTTCATTTAATATGTACACAAAGATGCGATAGCATGTCTTACAACAAATTATTTGCCATTGATGTTTTTTGCAGTTTTTAAACATTTTTGCCTTTTGATTAAGATTGGTGTTTTTCTTCCCCCCGTTGTCAGTATACTGTGACTAGGCGAAATACTGTGCTGTGTGGCTTCGGTATGGTATTTTAGTCAGGTAGCACTATAAAGTCGGCATCAGATTCGCACTGTCGCAATAAGGCAAATACACCAACAAACCCTGCCTTCTTTTCCATCTTTTGGCATACGTGTTCGGAAACTCCTGTAAAACTCAGTTTTAGGAATACTTCTCCGATTCCATACACAAGCGTTTTCTAAGCTCGTCTCACTATGTCCTTTACACGCGCGTCTTTATACTGACAATTCTATGGCCGAGGAGAAAGTAGCAGCAGCGATATTTTCACCTGAAGCGATTGCAATAAAACTGTTGTAAAACAAAATGAAAAGAATAAAATCAAAAAAGCAGAAATCGTTTCTGACAAACTATTTTAACCGAACCTATAAAAAAACACCTTTTTACAGAACGTCATACTTATTATTCACACAGTATATATTTGACGTCACCTGATCCTGATTACAATATCAGGTCATGTTGGAATTAGTGTGAGTGATAGCAAATTTCATTAAAACGAATTTGTTTAATAAAAGGTCTTAAGAACTGAATAAGATACTATTAGGGCCCGTATTGGTGGTATGGCCGCCCATTACCAATCAGTCTATCGTCCCGGTGTCCGTTCGCCTGATAGTTTTAAAATTTCTGAAATTTTTCATGAAGATAACTCTTGGATCGTAGTTGTGCATGATCAATTTTCGAATCGATCGGATTCATATTGGCTACCAGGCGGCCATCTTGGATCTAGACATATCGCTCTTTTCATATGTAACACTAACACACAGGGGTCTTTTGAAATTTTGTATAAAGGTTTGCCTTTATGACATAATGAAGCAGAAACCGGAATCAAACAAGACGTCAACTTGCAAAATTGAAAGTCAATGGATCAAAGATCAACATTGCTTTTATTTTTAAACTGAAAATTTAACAAGGCAGTTTCCTTTTGATAGGCTGATTGCTCTCCACGTGATATCTTATGACTTCAGTTCCGGTTCGATGCTCGCGGAATTCTGCGCACAGTAGATTAGGCAATTCCATTCTCATGGGCTGATTACGTTCCAAGCTATATCTTTATGACAGAATGATCGTACTTTGATCAAACCTGCACGGGATACTGTACAGCGGTAAATTATCACTATATGCAACTGTCAGTGCGTGAAATGAATTTCCTCCTACGAGTTGACAACCTATTGTACGGAGACTGAACCCAGGGACCCAAACCTGGCAGTCATCCAATGTGTGTCACCTGCTGGGAAATAAAAACTTACGAAACTAAAACCACTTTTATAGCGCTTGTATATTTTGCCTTTAATTGTTGTTGATATGTGTATTTGTTTTGTTAATGGAACCCTTGACCAACTTAATCACTTAAAACCAATTAACCCTAACCATAACCCTAACCTTTTGAGTTTCTTGTTTGAAAAGTTAGGCCCAGAATGACACGTTTTTGTGTGGCGAGGACGTTAAGACAGATCACACAAACAACAAAAAGCCCGGGAAGTCATGTTTGATAATCAGACTTTTAAGGAATTCGTTCTATTGTATATGTATCTTCTGATGAAGTGCCATCCATGCATGATCTTGACATAGACATTACAGTGAAACATTGATGGATAACACATGACGAACTACCTAACTACCTTGTCCCGGATTCCATTATTCTGATGATATACTTGGTGGTCGGAGTACTTCGAAACTCCTCATTTACATACATACTGTCCGACTCCAGTCCAACCGGGAAGAACGTTTTTTCATACCTGTTTTGGCCGTCGTGTGTTTGAAATCAGGTGTCGTAGGCACGTCGTTAAGTTTCACTATAAACACGCTTCCGGTGAAGTACAGCAACGACAGAACGTGCAAAATCCTGCTTTTTCTCAATTCTATACTGCATTCATCATCAACAACATCGTTAATCCTATTATCTACGGTTTCTTCGACCGACGATTCGTAATGAGATGTACAGATTGCGTCCCTGTGTCAAGAAATAGCATTCCTTATTTCGAAGCGATGCGTTTGGCATCCCGACAGAAATTTAGTTGAGAAATACATTTGTTTGGAATACCGGCTTTTCGCGTAACCAACGTCCGGATTAACGTCATTCAACTATATTTTAATAAATATATAACATACTGCTTGTCATATTAGATGCAAAGGAACTGTTAGTCATACTACCGGTTACATTGATAAAGTAAAGACTTTATAGCATTGGGCTAGCTGGAAGTTATATTTTCTTGAAAGTATATCAACGCATGTTGAAAAATGTTTCTAAATAGACGAAATTATGGACTTATCGTGACTCTTTGCATCGACATGACCATTTTTTTTTTTAAATAAATGCTTTCTTCTTTGTAGGTATAGTTATTTTTAAGCAAATCGGTTTCATACCTACATAAATGTTCAGTACGTATATCATTTTTAAAATGGTATTCGACAACAGATTTAAATGTATTTTCTAGGAATGGGGTAATTTTGTCAGAAAATAGGTAAGCGAGCAAATGTTTTCTGTTGTTTTTTCTGTAGTTTAATTGAGTTTTTCATGTTTTCGTTTAGTGAACGGGTTTTTTTCGGCACATCCATATACATTTTCGGGTTTAACTAAAATATTTACACTGCTGATATATATTATACTATATATAGATAAACGGAATTTTGGATATACGCTATAATGGTAATCGAGATTTTAGAATTACAATGTACTTTATACCAGTCATTTAAGGGGAATTGAAAGACTACCCCATTTGTGAGATTGCCAATTCCGTATAAAAATCCTAGAGAAACTAATTTTAAGTACAAGTAACTATGTTGTGTAATTTTTGTATCTCTGAGACTCAAAACAGTATCGACACATATTTTCACGGGATGTTTGGAGAAATCTGCACTGATCGATAACTTCCCCTGACAACTTTTAGGAAATCAAACACACATCAAATGGGCGTCTGTAATAGAAGAATTATATCGACAACACAACTCCTGCAATATTGTTACTAAAATGTTATCAAATAGAACCTTTCAGATGTTTCTTATATGCAGCGACGTACCTTACGTCTTCTACGTTCCGTCATTCTCCCATTAGATTCTGTTTCAATTTACAATTGTTTAAAACAAATCGTGACTTCGTTTGACATTCAATCTTCATGAAAATTTAGCTTCTGATAGAGATTTAAACAGTTGGTCTTCTAGTTATATTACTATTATTAACCATGGCTTCGTTATCGATATATCATTTTTTGTTCATTCAAGCACCTGAGCTTTACTTTGACGTCATTAACATAGACACAATAAAAAGATTAAACTTTGCCGTATGAATTGTTTTGGACATTTACTCATCACCGTTAGAATTCCAAGAAAAATATGATAATACCCTGATTCCTTATTATCAATAAAAGCTCTGGATAATTATATCGCTGTTATTTCATCAATTATTCAAGAAAAACCGAAGTTAGGAAATTTAATTTCGTATTAGTAACTTAACATAGAATTGAAAGGGAAAATGATGTAATGATGGAGACTTCCGGCTCGTCGATGTATGTAAAGCTTCTGAGTATTTTTGTCTTTTACGGCCTAAAAAACCTTGCGTCGAGGGGCCGATAAGCCTGATTAAGCAAACAAAAAACAACCGATTACCGCAGTCCGCCGATATGAACCATATACTGAATCAATGACGAACATTACAGGATGGCAAATCTTGGATAGTGACATCCTACAGATGTAATATTGTAGATAGATGTTTGACCACGTGATAGAAGACATCTAACACCTGGTCTTACCTGCTGAAACATACGTAAATTTCTCATTTATTCAAGGATTAACTTTCTATTTAGTTTAGGTTATCGGGTGATAACTTAATCGGCTTCGCCGATCATTCAATTTACTCGAGTTCCATTGTAGTTATCACCCGATAACCTAAACTAAATAGAAAGTTAATCCTTATATTTGTTTTTCTTTTCTTTAATATTACATAAAACGCGCGTTCTTTTAATCGGAATATATCCTGCGGGAGGGTTTGTGATACGTTTACGCTACGTGCCACACTTTGAAGGCCACCGTGACATGATACGACCAAACTAGGACTTATACGAACGAAATTGGCTGCATATCTTCAACATAAACATCACATTGGTTTGTTTGTTCGCCCTCAGACATGTTATCATTACTCATTAGCGATAATTCTTACTTCAAAGTTGCTTTATGGGGCTATTTTTAGCACAACTTGCAACATTGCGTTACCCGATACAATATTTCACTCGCACTCGTAAACTGTTATAATAAAATCATATCGTCTTTCCATTACCGGTTTATCTCAACATTTATATTTAATACCCAAAGATGTCCCGTTTAATAGTGTCTACAAAATCAAGTAATTTTATAAGTTTGATTTTAACTTCAATAATTACAAAACCAAGTTCGTGTGTTGTGATCTAACTATCAGTATTTAGGCAGGCATATGACATGTAGGTCATGTAAATGTATCGAACCCGTCCTGTGATTACTATTATCTTATCTACCAGCTTTATCGAGTGCAGTTGAAAATATTACGGCAAAATTGCCGTATATCGAACGTTATTGTCAAAATTGAATTTACTATCGTATTTTTGGGTATTGTTTACACTATGTCATTAAAGTAAATGTATGTAAATGAACACAAACACGTAGAAAAACGCAAAATCCAACCTTCCTTTCAGTCGGTGCAGTAATCATCGGGCGCTGTAAACAACATGACGTCATCGGCATGTATACATTTCAACAATGTATAGTTTGCATGAATACACTAATGAGTTGTACAAAATTTCCGAAAATAGAAATGTAAACCCTCGGGTTAATGACGTGCACATATATGTACACGGTGTATGTATCACTACTCGTACGAGTGATCGAGTGATAAAGACAATGACTTCAACAAAGGTTATTGAATCAGTTACACTTGAAACTGTAAATATTTTCATTCAACAACGTAACCCAATCCTAGAAACCGGGAAGTCTTGTTTGAAACACCAGGCTTCTTAATGAAATATTGCCATTGTGTATTTAATTTCTGATCAAGGAAGTTGCATATTTTTACAGCAAGTAGCCAGTGCAACACTGAAGATGAATGTAACATCGAATTCGTTAGTAATGGCGAACCAACTTGAGGACTGGAATGACGAACTGTCTCAAATCCTTGTCCCGGATTCCGTCATTCTGATGATATACTTAGTGGTCGGAGTACTTGGAAACTCTATCGTCATTTACATACATACTGTCCGACTCCAGTCCAACCGGGAAGAACGTTTTTTCATACCTGTTTTGGCCGTCGTGGATTTAATATCATGTGTCGTAAGTACTGCGTTTAGTTTCTCCATAAACATGCTTCCCGTGAAATACAACAACGACAGCGCGTGCAAGATAATGTTTTTCCTCAATATGACGTGTTCTTTGATGGCAGCGCTCATGCTCGTCGTCATAGCAATGCACAGACATAGAAAAATATGTAAACCTTTCAGTAAACAACTGAACATGTTCTGGAAGAAGATTGCTATTGTTTGTATTGCTGGCGTCTCCTTGGTGATTTCCTGGCCTTGTTTCCTCTTCTACGGCTCCAAGGAGGTGTACAAGGAGGAGAGTCTCACTATAGGATACCGTTGTACCAATGTCCGGGGACCCTGGTCAACAGTCCAGCCACTGGTATTCAAGGCTGCTGTCATGCTGTTGGTGGCCTTCATTCTCGTGTCACTGGTGGTCTTCTATGTCCTGATAGGAATAGTCGTATTCAGGCAGATGCGCTTTCACAAGAAGCAGGGTATCGCTTATGGTGCCTCAGACGACAGATCACAAAACACTAAATCCCCGAATTCAAATTCTGGTGATTCATCATATGTCACAGAAGTACCGGACAAAAATAGTGCGCCTAAAATCGATACTCAAAAATCCTCAGAAGCTGACATTTCATCACCAATCGACAACAATGCAAAATCGCTGAACATGGTTTCTGATTCTGATCAAAAGTCCTCCTCTAATATTGGACACAACCAAAGGCGATCAACAACGTGTAAAAGTGCTCTCACGATTGATCACACAACCAGAAACACTGGTCCCTCAATGACCCCGGGGGTGCGACTGTCGCTCATCTTCATGTTGATCACTCTGGTGTTCATTGTGTGTTATGTACCAAAAGTGGGACTGATGATCTACGAATCCCGGAATGAGAACTTCTGGATCGAGCTTCCCCCCTCGGAGTTGTCGGGCTTCAGGTTCCTTTACACTGCTTTTATCATCAACAACATTGTCAATCCTATTATCTACGGTTTCCTCGACCGACGATTCCGTGACGAGGTGTACGGATTGTGTCCCTGTGTGAAGAAATAGCATTCCTTATTTCGAAGTGGATGTCTACAAGAAGGCTTATTTCTTGAAAACATGTAAAACGTCTAAGTTTATTTCTTTTATTATCGGAAAGAATGAAAGAACTAGTGGGCAAGTTGGGAGTGAGTTTGCCGAACCGTCGGTATCTGATGTGACGGAACAATTACAGACAAGTGTGTGACATTACTAATTGTTCGCAAGATTGTCGTCGAAAGTTAATATTTATATGGATGGAATTGGTACATTCTTCTCGGAGGATTACACTCCGTGTCATTAGAGTGGAATGAAACTATTTGTGTTCAAAGTCGTCACGCTGAATTGATGAGAAAATTGTCAACGCCGTAACAAATACCCATGTGCTTTTCGTTATTCACAGAGGGCGCTACTTCGCTGTTGAACACAGTATAGTGGATGTTTGCACGTGGAGCATTGTCCCTCAGAAAACAATACGGCTTTCCGAATACATGTATTTCTAGCAGGTTTATCTTAAAAGTGTACAGANTATACCCCAGTCTATGTCAGCCTCTTACCTTTATACCCCAGTCTATGTCAGTATCTGACGTATATACCCCAGTCTATGTCAGCATTTGACCTTTATATCCCAGTCTATGTCAGCCTCTTACCTGTATACCCCAGTCTATGTCAGCCTCTTACCTTTTTACCCCAGTCTATGTCAGCCTCTTACCTTTATACCCCAGTCTATGTCAGCCTGTTACCTTTATACCCCAGTCTATGTCAGCATCTGACCTTTATACCCCAGTCTATGTCAGCCTCTTACCTTTAAACCCCAGTCTATGTCAGCCTCTTACCTATATACGGCAGTCTATGTCAGCCTATTACCTATATACCCCAGTCTATGTCAGCCTCTTTCCTTTATACCCCAGTCTATGTCAGCCTCTGACCTTTATACCCCAGTCTATGTCAGCATCTGACGTATATACCCCAGTCTATGTCAGCATCTGACCTTTATATCCCAGTCTATGTCAGCATCTAACCTATATACCCAATCTATGTCAGCATCTGACCTTTATACCCCAGTCTATGTCAGCCTCTGACGTATATACACCAGTCTATGTTACCCTCTGACCTTTATACCCTNACGTCATTTTTCCATTATTTTCCATCTTGTCCATTTTTCCATTTAGGTGTATCCTTCGTCTATTTCTACAAAAAACTATGCAAAGGAAATGTATGGCATGTGATGAGCTTACATTACTCCGCCTCGGGGTACTGTATTTATATAATGCAATGTGTTGTTAGATAACAATAGATAGCTTTATTTTTCGTAATAAAGGCTAGTGCTATTTAACGTTTAATACAAATTGTCATTGTTAGAATTGGAATCGATGTACAATGCACTGAAACTTGCATAAAACAAATTTATACTTGATTCATTGATTCGTGCATGATATATTTGGGCAAATTTATTTAAAGAATTGTGTCTCCTCATTTTGGCTTAAATATGCTGTTTACTTTTCTAATTAACTGTGAAAAATCTAAAAATATACGTTACACCAGTGTACGTTCTTCAGACTGAAGTATCATTTGTATATTGATGAGAGTATCGAATAGACATCCTATAAGTCTATGTTAAATGTGTAACCTTTTATATAATCCGACTTATCATACGTGTGGTTAGGTGCTAGGGCTTTCTAGAGTTATGTTATGCGCCTGTGTATTTATAACCCGAACGTGTTGATTGTATAATAATTTTTAGTTTATGATTCGAGAGACAATATCTAAAGACATGCACGCTCCACCTCGTGTTACACAAGGACACAGGTTAGGGGTTTTATACTGATTATTTGGAGCTTATCGGTCATTTCCGCGTCTGCGATGATGAAATGAACGAGGTGTTCCGAAGGTTATGATTTGAATNTATACCCCAGTCTATGTCAGCCTCTTACCTATATACCCCAGTCTATGTCAGCCTCTTACCTTTATACCCCAGTCTATGTCAGCATCTGACCTTTTTACCCCAGTCTATGTCAGTCTCTTTCCTATATACCCCAGTCTATGTCAGCCTCTTACCTATATACCCCAGTCTATGTCAGCCTCTTACCTTTATACCCCAGTCTTTGTCAGCATCTGACCTTTTTACCCCAGTCTATGTCAGTCTCTTTCCTATATACGTCTATGTCAGCCTCTTACCTTTATACCCCAGCCTATGTCAGCATCTGACCTTTTTACCCCAGTCTATGTCAGTCTCTTTCCTATATACCCCAGTCTATGTCAGCCTCTTACCTATATTCCCCAGTCTATGTCAGCCTCTTACCTATATACCCCAGTCTATGTCAGCCTCTTATCTATTTCAATGATTTGCCTGATAAAGAATACGAGGTATGTGTAACACTGCATGTACCCAGGAACTCCATGCTCGACAACCACTTTCGTTTTTGATTTTTAAAAACAATGGGAATGAACACATGCATTGAAGTTATTTGTCAACGTTACATTTTCCTGGTATTCGCTTAAAGCATTCTTATATTTTTTTCTTTGCAATTAATTTTATCAAATTCGTAAAGTCCTTTATTTATGGAAACTGACTTCCCCATTTTATAAACCAGGCAATGACATTAGTGGCCCTTCTGGCTACCGCCGAATAAGACACTTACAAGCTATACTGTTAAACTTAAAAATTAATAATCAATTATCCCATTCAGGTCGCGAATTGATAATATAAAACATCTATACATAAATTTTAAATATTTTAAATTCATTTCTGAGTTCCGATGCTTAGTTGGAGTTTTTAAATACGACCTAACAGGATGTCGAGAGTTTGCTTGACCAAACAATGAGTAAGGAGGCTTGTTGAAGCTTAACGCGGAAACATTTCCCCGTTATAACCATATTTTAGTGTGAATAAACATTCGATTTAGACATGTGTATCTATGTAAAGCATTTCATCCCGACCTTGGCGCCAGACCTAAGTTTTTTATGTTTACTTGAAGCAGCTTGTACCATACCTCTCTTGGTACGCAAAGTAAGTCGGTCGCTTAAGACCAGGAAGTAGATTTTGTACACGTCTATTTATTTCTGAACCCGTGTCTGTTTATGTATAAAGATTACCGAGTTTCCTCTTGGCCGGTCATCTTCTTCAAATATATTCAGGTTGTTTGACCAATTAGGAAGGCTCTTTCAAAGGACTGGGCACATTTGAATGTGAGTCAGTCTATTTGTTGGACCATTTGTAAATAAAATAATTCGATGTGGGCTAAATGTTTCGCTTAACCCATGATGATCAGTTTTTACTATTTTGAAATAAAAAAAAAATAGAAACCATAACGTATTTTGAAAAGAACCGTCGCTCAAACATAGCGCATAGAAAGTGTTCGGTGGACGAGTGGTGCCATCAAGTCTTCTATAATGGAAATAACAGTTTGGCGCATTCTTAATCAGTCATGGGAAAATGATTGTTCATGCAAAATGACGTATGCACAGTAACATGTATATTGGTATCAGATTTACACAGACGGCAATAGCTGTATTAAACTAGTAACAGGCCTAGGAAAGAGTGCTTTGTTCCTTTATCTTTGATGAGAGAAAGGATGACTGGTCATTTGGAAACTCTTTTCTGCATGGATTTTTTTATCAAGTTGTGAGATCACTCTTACGGCTAATCGGTTCAAAGTACAGCATGCATACAAATCCACAATATGTGTCCCACTCTTCACACAACACCAAAGTAGACCATACATCTACACAATATGTGTCCCACTCGTCACACAACACCAAAGTAGACCATACATCTACACATATTCTAAGGTACTATTTTTATTGATCGAATTATAGTTCGCCAAATTTACTCTCCTTACTATATATTTAAGGCAACTCTACCGGTTAAATTACATGCCATTACTAATAAATATGAACTATCAAGAGGTTTATGCAATTTCTTAATACTGAATAATTACATTTCGTTTCCTAACGCCTCACTATTGGTCTTGATTTTGAGCGCTCGCCCTAGATAGGAAGATCATCAGTTCGTTCTGTTTCCTGATTTTGGTTTGTTTGTATGGGATAAAAGTCCTCGCGAAAGCTAAAGTCACAATGAAGATAGGTCCCTAGGGAAACATCGGCGACAATAAAGAGAAGGGGAAATGATAAAAGATGTTTATGGCGATGTTTGAACTGTCGATATGGTATAACAGTATATATCCAAATCATACAAGAAACTGTCAAACGTCTCGATATGTAGCGCTTGCTTGGTTTAAATTACACTGGGAAAAGGAGGGTTATTTGTAGAGAGGAATGATCAAATGAGGTGTTTAAATTAACATTGAATTTGTCAGCAGGAAAGGTCGTTTAGTTTTGAGATTTTGAATATTTAAACAATAATTTACTTCTCTATATCAACAGACCCGTTTCGTTTCAGCTTCCGCGTAACTATACAGTTAACATATATCGGTACAGTATAATCACATTTAGAAGAGGACGATTTCACTTACTGTTAATGTTCACCGTCAACGCCTGTAACATTTAGCCTACAGGCATATACACATCAATCCGAGCTGAGTATCGCTTATTAAAATTTGAATATCATTAAAAAGATGTACAAGACATGTACGAAGTATTTTAGTCTCTTTTTGATAAAGAACAAGTTCCGTATGAAACCAGTTTTCATTATGAATTAAACATTCACATTTCTAGTGTCTTTGATTTGATATATGTTTGTCCGTGTTTACTCGGTAAGACTACCAGGGTCACTGAAGACAAATGACTTTTGTACTGGAGATATCGCGAACGAGGAACACACACAACGATAATCTTTCCGTTTAACATGATTGTAAGGATGAAGACTTTAATTTTTGTTGTAAGTAAACGTATTAATGTGTATTTGTTTGCCTTTTGAATCAAATAACATGTCTGTCTAACGCATGAATTATAGGAAACTATCTGCCTTAATGTCGCACTAAGTTAACCATACTTTGAATGCAGAGTGATCGAAAGTTAAAGTGAAATAAACACACGTCCCCGGATGTATAGCGACACATGTGGCTCGCTATGTTACGTACGATTTTAATATGTTGTAGACGAACGCAGACAAATCTGTGTAAATAACTGGAAAAACAAGTATTTCATCCTGCGGTTGACTGCAGATAACTTTATCGCTTTAATCTTTTCTTCGTACACAATCAACATAACAAGATTGCCTCGTCCAGGAAGTAATACTTGAACTTCCATGTGTTTATAGTAAATCACTTGTTATTCTGGATTATTTTTCTGTTCAGGAAAGTGCCATTTTTCTTACGGATTCCATTTGAACAGGTATGACGTTGACAGCATTGAACCAGACACACCGTTAACAATTTAAGATGGATGTTCCATCAAATATTCGTCAGTAATGGCGGACCAACTTGAGGACTGGAATGACGAACTGTCTCAAATCCTTGTCCCGGATTCCGTCATTCTGATGATATACTTAGTCGTTGGAGTACTTGGAAACTCCATCGTCATTTACATACATACAGTCCGACTCAAGTCTAACTGGAA